GTGCGAATGGGGCGGGGATGAGTGAGGAGGATGGAGGAGATGGGGGTGCGGGGACCCAGAGTGCCTCGCGTAGTTTTTTACTTTGCAGTTTTCGGTTTATTGTGGCATTTACATGGCCCCAGGACTGTGAGAAAAATACTCAGGATGAATGCTGGTCTTGGGGAAGGGGTCGACAGGTCTGTGGAAGGGATCGATGCCACACCGTTTGTGCTCACCTTTATTCTGGCCTGTGTCAGGGGCCGCGGCTCGCAGGTCCGGAGAGATTAGTGGGAGGGCAGCCTGGCGAAGAAGCGCCACGAAACGCTGTACTGGGTGGGGAAACCGTATGCGTGTTCTGCCACTGGGACCTTCGATGGAGCTCCCTCTGGGGCCACGAAGCGCTGTACTGGCCGGGGGGACCGCATGCGAGTTCAGCCACTGGGACCTTCGATTGAACTCCCTATGGGGGCAAGAAGCTCTGTATTGGGCGCAGGAACCGCAGGAGAGCTCCGCCACTGGGACTTTCGGTGGAGCACCTTATGTGGCCACGAAACGTTGTGCTGGGCGCAGGAACCGCATGCGGACTGTGCCACTAAGACCTCCGGTGGAGCTCCTTATGGGGTGACGGAGCGCTGTGCTGGGTGGGGGAACCGCATGCGGACTGCGCCACTGGGACCTTGGTGGAGCTCCCTATGGGGCCACGGAACGCTGTACTGGGTGGGGGAACCGCATGCGAACTGCGCAACTGGGACCTTCGGTGGAGCTGCATCTGGGTCCACGAAACGCTGTACTGGGTGGGGGAACCGCATGCGAACTGCGCCACTGGGACCTTCGGTGGAGCTCCCTCTGGGGCCACGAAGCGCTGTACTGGGTGGGGGAACCGCATGCGGACTGCACCGGTGGGACCTTCGGTGGAGCTCCGTATGGGGCCTCGAAGCGCTGTACTGGGTGGGGGAACTGCATACGGACTGCGCCACTGGAACCTTCGGTGGAACTCCCTATGGGGCCACGGAGCGCTGTACTGGGTGGGGGAGCCGCATGCGAGTTCCGCCACTGCGACTTTCGGTGGAGCACCCTCTGGGGCCACGAAGCGCGGTATTGGGTGGGGGAACCGCATGCAGACTGCGCCACTGGGACCTTCAGTGGAGCTCCCTCTGGAGCCACAGGCGGACTGCGTCACTGTGACCTTCGGTGGAGCTCCCTCTAGGGCCTACGGGGCCACGCAACGCTGTACTGGGTGGGGGAACCGCCTGCGGACTGCGCCACTGGAACCTTCGGTGGAGCTCCCTATGGGGCCACGCAGCGCGGTACTGGTTGGGGGAACCGCATGCGGACTGCGCCACTAAGATCGTTGTTGGAGCCACTTCTAGGTCCACAAACCGCTGTATTGGGCGGGGTATACGCATGCGAACTGCGGAGGAGGGAGGACGGACGAAGGGGGGGGAACAAGGAGAGGAGAGGAGAGGAGGAATGCGGGGTGCTGTCTCTTCAGAACGAGGACCCAACACCACAGGATGGTCGAGAAACATAGAAGACGCCGTAGCTGTTCCAGAAATTCTAGACGCTTCGGGGTCGCACCTCAGGGAGCTCTCTGAATATGGGCGGATGGCCGGGCTTTGGATACGCTTCCAGGGGGACAACCTGGGCAACCGTACCTCCCTCCGCTGCGACGAGGGATTCGACCCCATCAAGGACCTGGAGTCTTGGATCCCAAAAGCTCCCACACACGACGGAGATGCCAGCGTAAAGGGCTTGGATGACGCCATCAGGAAGGCCAAGGCCAAATTGGAAAGCTCATTCGCAGACCGTATTGCTCACCACTGGATGAGAAGTTCTCGTGGGAAAGGCTCGGGGCCGCCCTCTCGGACAGCATCCAGACTCTAGTCGATGACCCGCTCATGGGCATTCTGATGTACACCATCTCTGGACTGCACCCCCACCAGTGGCAGATGGGGGCCACGCCCAGGCAGCCTGGCAGCTTTGACAGGAAGGCATGGAGCCATTTGGGCTATTGCTTTGACCCGGAGGTCGGGATCGACGCGAGCAACCTGGTGTACAACCTCACGTGGGCGGCCATCGTCTGGTTCTTCGGGCTTGGCACGCCATGGTACGACAAAAAGCTCGGGGTCGCGTACGAGTCGCTCCCACCCCTACCTCACATGGTGGGCTCCAATAAGGTCCCCAAAAAGAAAAGTCACTGCACTCCCCGGAGCACGCTCCATCAGTTTCCAGCGGCATGGAACTCTACCACCTGCATGTGCCGTTGGCACAGGTTACACCCAGGTATGGAGAACCTGAGCGCCTTGTTCCAGCCCGAGGGGATCGATACAAAGCTCACAGACATGCTGGTCAATGCGAGCGGACAGCCGCTCTCTCCACACGCACTCAGAATACTACTGGTGGTCATGATGCTGCAGGTACTGGCGACATCTTCGAGGCCACGATGGGCCTTTGCCTCCCGTGGCAGGAAGCGCACATCGGTTTTCGCACGCAATTCGCCACGACGTGGGGTTACCAGCTGGCGGACCTCGAGAATCTCCACGCCAAGCTCGCCAATGTCATCCGCCACACAGGTACCCTGGCAACCTTCGCCCACCACCACGAGATTGCCCAAAAGCACGGCTGTCCAAGAACTTGGGCCGAGATGGAGGCGCACGAATTCACGTCGTACGACGCGCCACTGCCGCCCTTCCTGTGCAGGCACCACTCTGCCACCGCAAAGGCTTTCCGACGGCAGGTTCGGAGCGGATGCGCTCCGTAGCGGATGCTACTCAGCAAAGTGCGACATTTGCCCCACGCACACCCCAGTGCTAGAATGGTCGGCAGGCGCACCCGCCCATGGGTGCTTCATCTGGCACCCTGAAGAGGGCGCTGAGTGCTGCGATCGCACAGGCCTACCAGCATGGGAAGCCATGCTGACGCAGTGGACCAAGAGGCAATGGAACGCCAGCTGGGCCTGCAGGAGGTGTTTGGTGCACATTTGGGACGTCGCACCCAGCGCCCTCAACGAGGTGCTGAACGCATACTCCAACATGATCTACCCCCCAGCCCTGTCCCAATGGTGGCGAGCGAAGGTGCAGAGGAGGGAGACATCTCCGACATGTGTACGCACCTGTCCCCGGTCAGCCCTTCCCCGAAGGAGGGCCCCTCCGCAAGCCCCCCCCTGTGCTCGTGGCGCGGGCTGTGAGAATCACCAAGGACAATCCTGCACTCGGATGCACCCTGCCCCCACTCCCTCCGCGCGACGCCCACCGGTTGCCCGCGCGCGCGACCCTCTGCTTGGAAGGGGGGCAGTCGTGCAGGCCAGTGCGCAAGCTGGTGAATTTCCTGCTGGAATGGAACCATGAGATCTACATCCGTTGGTCGACATTTGGTGGAGAAAGGGTCGGGGACCAAGTGGGTGAGGGCAGCGAGATATCCGACCGGACTCACAGCCAATTGCTGCGCTTCCTCCACTCCATCTACGGTGACTAGATCCCCATGAATGGGCACCCCCCTCACATTCCTTGGGGCGGCCATAGAGCTGCAGCAGCCAATGCCATTGCGCAGATGGTCGGGAGTAATGGAAAGTTCCAGGAGGAGTGGAACGCCTTCTCGGCCGCGCTCGACTGCCAAAGAGGGCAAGACCCGTGGCTGCAGCCGATGGAAACGCTGCGCCGCTTCTTATCCCTCAGGAAGGACGATCTCGCAGGGGGGGCGCTGGAATTCCTCGCTGGCGAGCACAGCGCCCGGAGCAGCAACGAAGCCAGGGGTCACTCCCCCGCCGCCGCCCGGCACAAGCGCCCTCCAGCCTCGGACGGCCACGCCGACGGTGATGACTTCAGCCAGCAGCCCCCGGGGGCCACGGAAGCAGCGAAGGAGATGAAGGAGGAGCCGATCTCGGATAGGGACTCCCACGATAACGGCGACAACCCGTTCTGGGTAGACGGGGATGAGGATAATCCAGAGAGATTAGTCTCCATGATTCATAGCCCCCCGCAGCAGGACGAAGAAACCGAAAGCAGCGGCCCCAGTGGCAGAGACGTCCCCTTCATGCGGACAGTGCTGCGGTCAGTCCCCCCCGAGAAAGAGGAAGCTGCCAATTGGGCGCCCTGTGCCGCGGCCCGCTTCAAAGAGGACATAGAGCAAATCCGTGACAAAAGGGCTGATCAAAGGAAACCTCGAGGGAAAGGGGGCAGGCCAGACCGCAATCAGGAGTCTATCCAGGAGCTAACAGCCCCGGCGCACGAGACCCGGCGGGCGCTCAGCCCCCGGCAGGACAGCAGCGCAGAGAGACGGCCGCGCCCACAGGCTGAGCCACTCCCACCTCCGCATCGGAACGACCCCCTAGGGGGGCCCCCCATGTACTTGAGGCCCATCGAAGAGGCCGACATCCAGAGGGACGAGACAGGCCAAGAGAAAGTCATGATATTGCAGAGGGAAGAACTCGGAGGCGCTTTCAACGGGGCATGGATAGGGTGGGCACGCAGGGCTGGTAGCCTACAGGGTCTAGCGTGGAACGACATCCATATGGGCCCCAGGAGGGGCACAAGGGAGAGGTGCGAAGAATTCCTGCAGGCGTGGGAAACCGCGGGTTACGACGCCTACAAGTTGGTGAGGCACCACCATCTCCGTGTTGATTGGCCAAAGGTCGCTGACGAATATCGTAGCCTACTACATCGCAGCGCAAGGGCCAACGCAACCAAGGGGCAAGACAGCAAGGGCAACCCACGCCATTGGGCCGACAGAAGGACGGTACCCACCCCCCCTGCCCCACCCGACAGGGCAAGTCACCGCGCGCAGACCCAGCCCTCCAGCACGTACAGTGGGGCTGCGCCGCAGCGCCCGTGGAGCAGACCCAGAGACGGCGCAGCCGCCCCGCCGGCGCACGCCGACAGGGGGAATTCTTGGTCGGGTGCATCCAGCTCTGGGGCCCCATGGCGCCCAAGGCCGCGGTTGGAAGGGTGGGGCCATCATGGTAGCTCCTGAAGGGGGACTTCGTGGGGGAACAGGGAGAAGAGGACCGCCCCCCAAAGTGACGA